AAACACTCTCATTAACTTCTTATTTTATTTTAAATATTTAATTTAGATTTAGTGAACATATCTTGGGATTACTAAGTTCTTACGTTTAATCAAACAAAACGCAAGTAATCAAATAGAAAACATGACAAGATTAAATTTGGACCATTTTTGATTCGTGAGCTTCAATGTTCGGCCTCACTTAATCCACCGAATAGTGATTGATGTTAATATTATAGAAGCAAGACACCCATATAAATTTGAAAAATATCTACTTTGTCTCTCTTCTATAATATGGCAACGAAGCTTTATGTGGGCACACACATGGTGACGTGTGTTCTTGTCTTCAGATTTCATTGAGAAAGTGTGGAAAGCTACATTCTGACATAACCTTAACTTGAAGAGAGATCGTTATAGTGTGGAATTTGAAGGTTATTATTAGATGATTTTTGTACGTGAAAAGTGATTTTTTTATTGTATACTCGAAGTTTTTTTAATATAATTTTTTAAATATATAATTTGGCATACTCTTCCAAATCTAAAAGTTTATTATAGATTGGAAAATCTAATTCTTTTAAATATAAACATATTTTCTAGATTGTAGAATTTGAAATACTCTTCTCAACTAAGAAAATTTTCAAATCGAACAATCTAGAGTATACGAACAGAAGAGAAAAACAAACCAAAGAAGATAAATCTTATACCTTCACCGTTTACAAGAACGATGATAATAATAATAAATAACTATCACAATGAATGACACCGACAGAAACACAACCAAAAGAAAATCAGAGTGTAAAGAAGACAAGAAAACAAGAGAAAGAGAGTATGAAAGATGAAATAGGGTTATATTTTTAATTTTAGTTAGGGTAACTTTTATCATGGGTGTGCAAATAGCAATCTTCCACTACAAAAAGGCAAGATAACTTAAGAAAACAAGAGCGCAGTTGTGGCTTATAGATCAGACATGGAAACAAAACAAAAAATGGATCTCGATGTGAAGCTTTGAATGTGTGCTTGTGAAAACAGAACATAACAAAAGACAAACACAGCGAAGCATTTTGATGTAGTTAATGAAGAGAGCTACTAACCTCTTTGGTTGTGATGAGCTGTCACTGTCTCAACACTTGAGGGCTTCAATGGCCGTCTCTGTTCTTCTTTCCGACAAGTCTGTCTGAAAATTGACAATCTCTTCCTTCTCTGTTCAGTCTGCACCCAATTTATAGGAACTGATAACCACTTTGACGGTGAAAAGAAACCATTTTCTTAGAAAGTGGGTTTAAAATTTCAAAGGCACTTTGTTTGACTTTGAAATTCCGTTGGTTAGTATGATTTTTCTTGTGAATAATCTGGTTTTGACAAGAAGAATGGTGCATTGACCGAGCTCATGCATGCACCACCATGAGACCATGAGACCATGAGACCATGACAGAAGTGCAGCGAAGAGAGAGAAGTTGGAGTAGTGTTGCAGTGTGTAGAGATAACAGAGAGAGTGTGTTGGGAGTGAGTAAGGTTCACCGAAAAGGGTTGGGGCCATTATTGCATGTTGATGCTGACTCATGCTTCTCCAACACACGTTGCTGACTTTTTTTCTCTCCATCTTGTTTTATTCAGCTGCTTCTCCTTGGATTTATGTCACTCGGTTTGGATATTTTCCTTTTCTTTGTATTTTTGTGGATTCAGAATTATCCTGTTGGAATTTAATCACTATCTGATAAATATTTTCTTTATGTGGCCTGTTTAATATATTTAAAGGTTTAATTTCAGAACATGATATCCGTACCAAATAATTTCCTTCTCATATTACCTATATTTCGAATTTATTCTTATTTTAATACAGAATTTTTGCAATAATTAGATTGAGCATCGATAATTTTTTTTTAATTTTTAGTTTTATAATCTTTCTTTTTCTTTTACAATACACTTTTTTTTCTAATTATTTAATTTATTCTATATTAACGAAATTCACCTTGTCTCGAAGGTAAATGTTACATGAATCAAATGGTTTTTATTTTTTATCTTTGAATATTTATAAATTTTTTAATATTTTTATTTATTTATTTTACATAAAAATATTTTATTATTAATTTCAAGGGTTCAATCACATAAACCATTTATTTAGTAGGTAATATAGAAAATTGTTGTTTTTTTATTTTCTTTAATCCTTAATTTTCATTTTTTTTAAGAATTTTGGTTTTTCTAAAGTAATTTTAATTATTTCTTAAGAGTTTTATTAGTTTAATGTTTTGGAAAGTTTTGTTTAAATATTCAAGATACTTTTCATATTATCATGTTTTTTTTTTTGTGATTTTGGTGTACCAAACTATTTATAAGATACATATTTGATAATTTTTAATTTTTTTATTTGTTATTTATTTTTAATATTATAATATTATTTTTGATGATTTTTTATATAATTATGTTTATTTATCATAAGTGTAATTTTACTAATACAATTATATACATACGTGTTATTTGTTATAATATAATAATTTTATGTTGTTGTATGAATATTGCTTATTATTATCTAAGATTGAAATTTAAAAAAAAGAGATATTTATATAAAATTTCAATTTTTATTGGTTTAATATTTATTCTTTGTGAGATTTCGATGGTGTATTATAATTTTTATTAATATAAAAAAAATTCATTAAAATTTAAAGAAATAAATAAATAAACATTTAAAATATTTTTAAATTTTGATGTTTTTTCTAATTTTTTAAAAATATTTTTTAATTTTATCAACTTTGTTTTATTAACGTTAATTACTTTTATACACTCAACAAACCTCATATAATAATTATGTGAGACACCCTCATACCATCATACAACAATAGCATCATAGATACTCATACCATCATACAACAATCGCATCATAGATACTCATAACATCATACAACAATCGCATCATAGATACTCATCCCACCATACCACAATTACTAATAGACACTCATCCCACAATACTTAATAAACACTCGTTCCACAATACTCAATAGACACTCATTCCACAATACCCAATAGACACTCATTCCACAATACCCAATAGACACTCATTCCACAATACCCAATAGACACTCATTCCGATGATATGTTGATGAGCGGTCACGGGAGGTTATGCACTTGTGATGCCTTCTACTTCCTCTTACAAATACACTTCCAAAATACTCCATACCATCCACAAGGTTAGTCCTCAACACTATGTCTAAAACCGGCACATAGACCAACACATAATTCATCCTTCTCTACTTGAGACTAAATGATTATTAGAGTATCAGGATAACCTCCAACTACAGAACCCTCAACATCAACATATACACAAATAGCATATCATTACTGAATCTCTCCACGAGACTCATACCATACTCATATTCCTCAACTCACATTATACCCTTACAAAATCCCCCCATAATACTCATATCATGTTCAGATGCATAAATTCAAATCCAATATAATAAAATACAATCATCACAGAAATCATACAAAATGAATATATCACAAAATAAATTTACAATACTAAAATATCACCATAAATGGTCACTGGAGAAGAATCAAATGTTTGACGAATCAAACTCACCATAAACGCCAGTACATATGACTAGTCACAACTTACTGGATTTGACCAGGGCTGCTCTATGATCAGGGATGTACCAACTCCGGTTTTTAAGATTCCTCTATCCTACCATCACAATTATAATTCATAATTTCATATCTACCACAATAACATGAATTCATCAGACATTTTCATTCCAACGAGATATATTGCACAATAATTTAACAGTGCATAATCTGTTCAACAATATTTAAGTTAAAAACTTGTCGAGTAGACTTCCAGAAAAGAGAGGTGCGTGGACAACTTAAGTACCAAGTCTTTCCTTAGCCAAAGTGTTCCTCAGCTAGTTTTAACAAATTTCTTATTTACAGATTCAAAACAACAACATATAATATTAGCACAAAAATTCACTATAGATAGATATACAGTAAGCACCTATGTTTTTCATTAACAGTATTCACACAAAATTTCAAGACATGAATAGTAATAAAACAATATTAAATCATAAGGTTAGTCCCCCTACCTTTATTTCAGACTTAATCTCTTGCTCAGAATTTGTTCCCCGAAAACCCTCTCTCTTTGTGCAAAATAGCCTCCCCTCTCATGGCTATTTATAGTCCAAAATTTTTACTATTCAACAATTTTTTAATATTATTTATTATTTTAATCTTATTTTATTATATTAATATTATTTTAATCTGGAGTTCTTTATCCACTATCAATATTTTATTTTTTTTAAACAAAAAGGTAAAAGAAAAGAGTTTGAACCCATGTTCTTGAAATCACCACAATTTTATACCAATTAAGCAACCAAAATTTCTTATTTAGCTTTCCACATTTTATTTTTACATAAACTTATTATATTTTCAATTCACAAAGAAATTTATTAGGTTTAATCATTCCGGAAGTCCCTTTTTTGGAGCAGAATCTCAATTTCGTCCCTTATTTTTTCGGTTTCTCAATTGAATCCAAATTTTTTGAAAATTGTAACAATTGGGTCCCAACCGTTAAATTGGGCCTAACGACGTAAGGCTGTGTTTGATGTGGCACGCTGTATATCATTTTGAAATTGGCGTGGCAGGCGTAAGGGAACTTTGTTTGACATGGATAATTATATTTTTTAAAATACAAAGAAAAGGAAAGTACGACTGAAATATAGGGATTGGGATTGAGATTCAATTTTATGGAATTAGGGAGGGGAGAAGTTTGTTCTGAGATTGAGGGGTTCTTGTAGGGTTCGTGCAAAGGTCCATGAAATTCACAAATTGGGGTATGAAATTGGAGATTTAGGGTTTAATCGAAGTTGACGTTGACAGAGAGCGTGCTTTTGTCGTCGTGGTTGAAATTGTGGGTGGGACCTTGTTCCGCTGGAATCTCAAGTGGCCAGGTCAATATAAGTTTGATTTTGTATTGATTATTGATTACAGAGGTCATATGTTGTATTATTAGACACGAAGGGCCGATCTAATGATATATGGAGCAAGTATTGGAGACAATGAAGGTGGAAGGGATTGAGCCAGACGTCCAAATTCAGGCACTCTTGGCTAAGCATTACACCAAAGATGGGCTTAATGAAAAGGCTGAAACTGTATTGAAGGAGATTGAAGGTGAAAACTTGAAAGAAAATCGGTGGTTATGTGCAACATTAATTCGTCTTTATGCATACCTGGGAAAGGCCGATGAAGTGGAGAGAATTTGGAAGGTTTGTGAATCAAATCCTGGGGTTGATGACTGCCTTGCTGCAGTTGAAGCTTCGGGAAGGTTAAAGAAAATTGATGAAGCTGAATCAATTTTTGAGAGGGCATCAAAGAAATGGAAACTGAATTCCAAGAACTACTCAGTTCTTCTGATGATTTATGCAAATAATAATATGCTAAAGAAGGGTGAGGAACTTATTAAGCGAATGGAAGATAGTGGGATGTATATAGGCTGTATGACCTGTAATGCACTTGTGAAACTGTATATCCATGTCAAACAAAGTTCTCTTACTTACGCCTGCCACGTCAATTACAAAAGGGGATCCAGCGTGCCACGTCAAACACAGCCTAACGCCGTTGAGCCCAATTTAAAGGTTGGGACCCAATTGTTGCAATTTTCAAAAAATTTGGATCCAATTGAGAAACCGAAAAAATAAGGGACGAAATTGAGATTCTGCTCCAAAAAAGGGACTTCCTGAATGATTAAACCAATTTATTACTACTAGTAATAAAATTGTTAAGTCTTTAAAAAATCTTTCAACGGATCCGTTAAAATTTTCATAAGTTAAAATTTTCATAAGTTAAAATTTTCAAAAGATCTTTTGATAAATTTCAAAATTTGATGAAATACAAAATAGGAGTGTATACTTTTTTTAATTGTAGAAAGAGAAAATATTTAAAAAAAAAAATTAAATGAATTTTTTTACAACGGATAGTTTTAAAATATTTGAAGATGCAATAAAAAAAATGTCCAAATAGTTTAGCTATTTTCGTCCCAAAATAAGCCCAACCATTAAAATCTCTATTTCTGTTCACCATCTACGCTAACCATTTAAAACATTCACTACATTTACTACACCATTAAATAATTAAAATTAAACATAAATATATTTAATTATCCCTCTAATTCGTTCATACACTTATTTAACACACGTTCTTACAATACATTATATAAGCATTAAGGGCATTTGACATTCAAAAGATATCTTGTCATGTAGATAGATATATGGAAATAAACTGTCTGAAGTAATTTCCATGAAACCACGTAATATTAACAAAGATATCTTAATTTTGATAATAAGCTCACCAATTTTCAATACACTATTTATTATTTTGTTAAATTAATTGAGGGTAAAGTTTTTTTTTTTTAATTTCAAGTACTTGAAAATGACTCTATTATTTAAACCAATCCTACCCATTCAAGTGTAATTGCTTTCTGCAGATGGTATTTATAGTGTACAAGAAAAACATATTAATCTACCACCATTTTATCATAGATAAGGTGAAACTAGTTTGGTATTCAAAGATTCCCAAAATTATATGGAAAATTGGAAACAACACGACGAAAAAAAGAATATTCGGCTATATTACCATTGGAAAGAGAAAGTAGAAAAATAAAATAAGATTATAAACATATTTAGATAAACTTATTCCTAATTATTATTAAGAGAATAAAATAAAAACGTTTTTTTCTCTATATAATAAAATTAACTTATTGGGAGGTTAAAGAAATTTTCAAAAAAGTACTAGACAAAAACTTTTACAAGTTAATTTATATCGGAATTAATTTTAACTCATACAAAATTCATTCAATTTTTTAATGAGTGTTTATAGAAAATTTGTACAAATAAACCTTATAATATTTCTTTGATTTCCGCATTGAAATCCGGAGACTTATTTTTTTTCTTCATAATTTCGGTTTAAGATTTTAAGAAAAATCATAATTTTAAAAGTTATATAAAAGTATAAAGACTTGTACACGATAATTTTAATCTGATCTACAAGTAAATTCATATTTTTACTAATTTCCTTATGTAAAAAAGAAAAATCACATAAATTAATCTTATTGTAATTAGTATGACTAAATTTTTATTGAGTTTATTTTTCGTTATAATAGTTTTGAAATAATCCCTATTGTTTCGATTTTTTTATTAATAATTTCCTAGTAAGAGAGTATTTGGCATCTTTCATTACTTTGATTTCATTTAAAAAAGTTAATTTCGATAATAAAAATTATATAACCAAAAAGTGAATTTAAGGCATTTTGGAGGGTGAAAAACATAAAGTAAAACGAAGGGTCGGTTAAAGCTAAATTGAAGAGAGTGATGTCATTGAATTTTGGTGTCTAAATTGTGAGATAGACTTGGCATCAAACCTCACAAAGAAAATTGCAAATCCTTCTCCTCCAATTCATCACCTTCTTCTTCTTCTTCTTCTTCTTCAATTTTCTTTAGCATTGTTTCTTCAAGTTAAATCCACATGCTGTTTGTTGGTCCCTCAATGTTCAAATCTGTCTCTCTCTGTTGCTGCTGAGGTCCTTTTCCTTCTTCAAAGTGTTCTCGTGAAACCCCGTTGCCAAGAAACCTCCCACAACTACTTTCCCATGTGACTTCTCAACCTTCACCTTCTTCTTCTGACCAGAATTGACTTCCTTATAATAAACACTTACTTTCCTTCTTTTGGAGTTCCACCCTTCATTACCATCACTCCCCTTTTTCCATTTTTCAATCCAAAATCATTTCTTTGCTGGGGAACCAAAAATGGGTATGTGGAAATTCAGTTTTTTGGGGTTTCTTTGTGCCTATTTTCTCTTTACAATTGGTGCCGTGGAGCTGGGCAGAAACCAACCAACTGAAAGAATCTCAGGTTTTTTTTGCTGATTTTTGTTTTTTAGCTTCTTCCTTTTGCTTGGCTTTACTTTGGTCGTGATCGATTAACTGTGGTTATGTTTGATGTTGATTTTGACCGCATTGTATTGCGGTTTTCAGTGTTGTGTCTGTGGTTACTGTGAATGAGTTTGATTAAGATCCGGTTGTGATTGAGGTTGATTAGGATAGTTGTTGCATAAGTTGACGAGTTTTTTTTTGTGAAGTTATTGTTTCAACCATTGAGCATTGGGTTATTCAGCATTGAATGTGGATGGTTATTCTAAAGATCCAAAAGTACCAAGCTCTTTAATTAGATACTATAAATACTGGAATTTGACTGTATTTTTGCTTCAATATTCAATGTTCAATGACTGCGATTGGGTTAATGGTTTGGATAATGAATAACTGCTTAGGTTGCGTACCTTAAATGGTAATGCATGCCAAATGACGCCTTAGGACTATTCATGGTTGTGCTTGATTTCAGAGAACACATAACAATTAATTAGGGTATCTGAGAAATGTTTTGGTTGGTCTGCCCATGAACTTGTTTACGCTAGTAGATTGTAGATTGATAATTTTTTGTCTATTGGTTCTGTTATTTCTATAGATTGGCAATCTGATGTACCCAAAGGCATAAAAACAATGTATTGTAAACACATTTTTAAGGTTTGTTTTTCAAAATCTAGGGGGCTCTCTTGCCGGCTTCTGAGTTTCAATTTTGATAGTGGAATATTGTAATAGAAATTTCAACATTTCTGTTGCCTTCCTCTCTTATCCGAAGAGTTAAAAGTAAATTATCTTGTTTACCAACAGAAATTTGATTACAATTTAAATTGGAACTCTACAATTTGCAGAATATTCACTTCTTTTCTTGCATTTTGAGCCTTATAAAGCTAAGCATTTTGAGCCTTATAAAGCTAAAAAGGGGGGAAATGTTAGCCAAAATATGAACGCTACTCCCTGACAGAACACGTGTCTAAATTTTATGAAGACATTAATATTAACTTGCCACAGTGATGTATAGATTTTGAAAACATAGCATCAGGAAGTAGCTGGAATGGTTGTTAAGTTAAACAAGGTATATATAAAATTATGGTCTATCCTTTTTGACCCTTGGGATTTTAAGGTGTTTATAAGCAGTTTTTTGTGCTCTCTTTCATTGAATTACATTAAGCAATTATATTTGTGGAGATATACTGTAGTCCAATACACTTTTTATATCTGTGAGGTTATAAGCATGGTGTGGTTGAACCAACTGCAGGTAGTGCTGGTGATGTATTGGAAGATGATCCAGTGGGAAGGTTGAAGGTTTTTGTATATGAACTTCCAAGTAAGTATAATAAGAAAATTCTTCAAAAAGATCCGAGATGCCTCAACCATATGTTTGCTGCTGAAATCTTTATGCACCGGTTTCTCTTATCTAGTCCCGTCCGAACCCTTAATCCGGAAGAGGCTGACTGGTTTTATACCCCTGTATACACCACTTGTGACTTGACACCAAATGGCCTCCCTTTACCCTTCAAGTCACCGCGAATGATGAGAAGTGCCATACAACTTATTTCTTCAAACTGGCCCTATTGGAATCGCACAGAGGGGGCAGATCACTTCTTTGTGGTTCCTCACGACTTTGGGGCATGTTTTCATTACCAGGTACAAATTTTGTGCATTGTTTTCAATTTTCATTATTTATACCACTTTTATTATATATTTATATTAATTTGTACAGGAAGAGAAGGCAATTGAAAGAGGGATTCTTCAACTGCTAAGGCGTGCTACATTGGTTCAAACATTTGGACAGAGGAATCATGTATGCTTGAAAGAGGGCTCAATTACCATTCCTCCATACGCTCCACCACAGAAAATGCACACCCACCTAATTCCTGATAAGACTCCCAGGTCCATTTTTGTATACTTCCGAGGACTTTTTTATGATGTTGGCAATGACCCTGAAGGTGGTTACTATGCAAGGTAGGCCTTATTACAAGTTTAAAGGAGAAGGTCTGAGTGTAGCCTTTTATTTCTTTCATATAATAGATGCATAAGAAAGCTGATTTACATTTTTTTCGAAAGATGCAATTACTAGTAAGGACTTTGATTCATATAAATATTGTATTTTGTTTAACTATAAAAGTCAAGTCAATCATATTAAGATCTATTCATTACCTAAAATTGATTCTTTCTAAACAAAACATTGAAAGTCAAGTGTGCATCAGTGTATGCAATAACAAAAGAAGCTTGGATCAACAAATAATCCCTATTGATCAAACGGCCATGTTCTGTAATCTTGCAGAGGTGCAAGAGCAGCAGTGTGGGAGAACTTTAAGGACAATCCTCTATTTGATGTCTCCACTGAGCATCCAACCACGTACTATGAGGACATGCAACGAGCTGTGTTTTGCCTATGCCCACTTGGATGGGCCCCTTGGAGCCCAAGATTGGTAGAGGCTGTGATATTTGGTTGTATACCTGTTATTATTGCAGATGACATTGTGCTGCCATTTGCTGATGCAATCCCATGGGAAGAGATAGGAGTGTTTGTTGCTGAGGAGGAGGTTCCAAAGTTGGATACCATACTCACATCTATCTCACCAGAAGTCATATTAAGGAAGCAAAGATTGCTTGCTAACCCTTCCATGAAGCAAGCAATGCTTTTCCCACAGCCTGCTCAACCTGGAGATGCCTTCCATCAAGTTTTAAATGGACTGGCAAGGAAGCTGCCACATGACAACACCGTGTTCTTGAAACCAGGGGAGAAGATCTTGAATTGGACTGCTGGACCTGTGGCTGACCTTAAACCTTGGTAACATTTATATTGCTTTTTCTCAGGCCATTATAGGATTCTTTATTGTTCTTGCTCAATCCTCCCAAAGTGTTCATAGGGGTTGATAAATGGTTGATAAATGAGATATCTTTATTTTTGTTTTGTAAATTTTGTTATTTCCATAGATAATTCATTAGGTCATGTAATCCGTTTTGCAACATGATTGAGGTTTCATAGTATGCTCCAGATTCTTGTTTCCTCCTAATACATGTCTTATACTGCATGCTGGACTCTGTAAATTGGATGGCACTGCAAATTAAATTGTGATGGCAATTAACTTCACAGTAATTCTTGCATGTATTATTGTTCAGAGAGTTCTATTTGAGGTAGATGGAATACTAAATGTTGACACTTTTACACAGAATATTTAAGTCTTGGTATGTTGATATTTTCATGTTAAATTGATGATATCAGTTTGAAATGAAGATTCAATTATACCAGCACATTGTTTTGGTCAAGGTAAAAGTGAGGAAGAAAAAAAAAAGGAAAGGACTTAAAAATTGTACATTTCTATATTTGGTTGGACTTGAGAGAGATTTACAAGTATTTAAAGATAAAAATATTTTTATTTATTACACGTATTTTTTTATGCAGGTTATTTTTGTAATTTTATGTACATAGTCTTTTTTTTCTCTTTTTTTTTATACTATTGAACAATTTTTTTATTCATAGAAAAAGAAAAGACAAATAAAAAATCACTAACAAATGGTTATAGAACCTACTTTATGAGCCAATAGAGTGCAAATTAAGTCTTTTATGACAAGAATTTCACATCTTTAATTGAATCTATGCATTGTTTTGCTTATAAAGACTATTAACCTAATTACAAAGACTTCTAAAATATTTAAAGAGATTCATTTACAAGGTATGACCAATGACGCTTTCGACTTATGCCTTCACTAAAATTTAAGTTCTGTGTGTTATAAAAAGAATATATTTGTAGTTAGTTTCTTAACATGATTGTACAAGATATAAAATATAAGCATATGCGCTGTAGATCGTTTAAGAAATTTTATTACTAATTTAAAAAGTTATAATAAGAAAATTAGTTACATTTATTATTTTGAATTTTAAATCATTGAAGTTAGAAAAATTAAAAAAAAAAAAAAGAATGTTACGATACACAAAAGTGTTTTGATGAAAATTACAGTGATGACATCTATCAAACATTTTAATTTCTTTTGTTCTTAAAAAATAATTTTTAATTCTGATTATTTTACACAAAAACACACACACATATATATATATGAAAACACTTTATATTTTTATTCACTGCTCACTTAAAAAAAATTAAAGTATATAGTCAATTTGGATTTTTTTTATTTCAATGGAAACAATCTAAATTTTACTGAATGTTAATTTTTATTAGTTGTCTTCATTTTTTTAACTGATGTAGATTCAAAAGAGAGGTTAAAAAATAAAAGTTATAGTCGTACTAGAAATATTAAATTATAGGTTTAATACCTATTTTGGTCCCTATGTGTTCAAAGTTGTCCTTTTTTTTTTCAAAAGTTCACAACCGTCCTATATTTTGCAAAAACGGTTCACGTTAGTACTTTTTGCTTACGGCGTTAAAAAAATTAACGGCAGAGTTGTCTTCCTGGCGAAACCTGAATGAGCTGTACAATTTCTTATTACGTGGCATTGTTTTGCATTTCCCGTACTTTTCTGCAGCTTCTTCCTTCTCCTTCTCTGAAAACCTTTATCTAGTGGAAAAACTTTTTCTCTCCAGTTCCTCAAACTCCACCATTTCTTCCTACCTCTGCGCCCTCACCCTCCACCTCACCTCGTCGGAACAAAACTGCCTTTTAAAAGGAAATTATTTACTTAAGGTTTAATAGCCAATTTAGTCCCCACTTTGATTGAAAAATCTCAATTTAGTCCCTCGTTATAAAAGTGTTTTACATTAGTCCTAACTTTTAAAATAGTGGGTCAGATTGGTCCCTTTCGTTAAATATAAGTTAACGAAATTAATGGATGATGATGTGACACAGCTTAAAGCTGATGTGTTAGATTGGTCCCTCGTTAGCTTTAAGTTGTGTCACATCATCATCCATTAATTTTCTTAACTTATATTTAACAGAAAGGACCAATCTGACCCACTATTTTAAAAGTTAGGACTAATTCAAAACACTTTTATAACGAGGGACTAAATTGAGATTTTTCAACCAAAGTGAGGACTAAATTGGCTATTAAACCTTTACTTAATTTTCAAATTTAGTTAAGAGGTTGTGAAAGAGAAGAGGCACAAGGAAGTGTTGAGGGAGGAGAGAGACATAAACGCAGGCAGAGCTGGAAGCGGTCCTCCCCGACTTTCCCTTTTTGTTAATCTGATATAGTTTCAGTTCATCTCAATGGCACACGATTAAAGCAAGGTTGAGATTGAATTTAAATTTGGAAAAGGGAACTTGTGTCACTGTATATTTTCAGATCTTGTAATACTGTATTTCCTCAAATCTTGTGCCACTGTATATTTCCAGATCTTGTAATACTCTTCTCTTTCTCGTATATGGGTAAAGATTGTATTGATTGAAATTGTTTTGATGCCCTCACCAACATGGCTACCTACACCACACTCCTTTACCGCGCCCTGGGTGCGATGAGAGTGAACGTGAGCGAGTGCGTGGTGATCGTGCGGAAGGGCAGAGAGATGGGGCGAAGCGTAGCAGTGGAGAAAACCTCATATCTCAGAACCTCAACGTTGAACACAGAAAGGGGAAAAGGGGATTAGGGTTTGGGAAGCAGCGTGAGATTCAAGAAGATGAAGAAGTGTGATAAAGCTTTTGAGTGAAAAAGGGATTGCCATGTGCCAGTGTCTTATTGGCTGAACTTGCCAACTAATTAGACAAGTCATTTAATTTTTGCCAGGAGAGCAACCTGCCGTTAAAGGATCCACTTAAACTGTTTTTGCAAAATATAGGACGATTGTGAACTTTTGAAAAAAAGGAGGACAACTTTGAACACATCCTACAAATCCAGGGACCAAAATAGGTATTAAACCTAAATTATATTAAAACATTAATCGTTTTTAAATGTACGTGATGTTATGGGAAATTATTAAAACTTGTAAAAATTGTCTTTGTCGAAAGAAATAAAGCTCAAAATTATTACAACACGTCTGTCTGTTTCTATTTCGAGAAAACTTCTTCGAATACAGTTTTATGATAGAAAAATAAGAAAAAAAAACAAAATTCTTCCTAAACAAGAAATAAACTTTTGGAGAAATTATAGCTTCTACACGTTTACTTTAAATCATTTATGTAAAAATTAATTTTACTTTTTCCATAATACTTTTCTTCATTTAAAGTGATTGTACAAAATTGTCTTCAATCAAATGAAATGTGAAATATTAATACCCAAAAGAATCAAGTGTTGTTGAACAAGTAATCATCCAAAATGAGATAAATGTTGTCTATACGCGTCTTTAAAGAAAAAAGGTTTAATTTTTTCCCAAAATAATAATTTGTTTTTAAGAAATTTTCTAAATGAATCTAAGGTTTCTTTACTTCTCCAAATGGTTTAAGAAAAAGAAACAACATAGAAAATAAATTAAGGTCTAACAAACTTAGGTTTTGTAATATTGGTTTTATATAATTCAAAATTAGATTTGTTATTGTCATTATAATTGTTTGAAGAGAAAAGTGAAAAAAATAAAAAATTTAAAATTTAAAATTTGACACCATTATTATTATTATTAATCACGACCAAACTATATTACATCATATTTGAAGTACTATAATATCAAGATCCAAACAAATTACAAAAATTAATTAGTAATATCTAGTTAAAGTTCTTAATAACAAAAACTCATACAGACTTAATGCAAATATAAAATGATGCTTACGTCGCATAAATGATCTATTATTGATAAACATGCCCAACTTCTTCACTCATGTGTGTAGGGTCAAAAATCATCCGTAAATATTGAATTATTTGTCCGAATTAACTTTCAATAATAATTTATTTACTTTCTGTTATTTAACCTTTAGTTTTTGGAATAAAAAAACAATTAAAATTTTGGAGGGGTCGAATTTTTAACTGTTACAAAAATAAAATGACATTAGTGTTTTTTTTAGAAATTTCTTTTAAAAAGGTGTATTGGAGAAAAAGAATTCTAATAAGCTGAGTTTATTTTAATAATTTAATAAGTATTTCAGAGTCTGAAGAGCCTCTGTTAATGAATTTAATAACCACAAATGATTGGTTGCAGTAGTTTTTGCACATTCCACTGGAAAATAGCCATGGCAATGGCTTCAACCACTGCTTTTCCAGTGACAAATTCAAGCTTTTTCACTCCCCAAACATGGTTTTAGAGTAGACCCTTTAGGTTCCTTACTCCCACAACTCATAAACATCACATTTCACTCACACCCTTATCTTCATCTTCTTCATCTTCTTCTTCTTCTTCTTCTCTTACTGAATAAAGCTGCACTTGCACGGTTGCACCGCATTCACATCTTATCTCTCATCTTATTCTCATTTTCTTTCCCTTCCATTGCTTTTTCTACTCTCAGTTTGCACTGTCTGGGAGGAACAATGGAACATAACAGTTATAGGACAAAGATCAAAAGCACTATTCTTCACCATCTCTTCCAGAAGGAGCGACAGAGCCCTTATTATGACAATCTATGTCGCCCTGTTTCAGATTTGCTTCCTTTCATTGCCAATGGGATCAGAGGTGTCACCACCAATCCAGCGGTGCTTACTTTTCTTATTTGCCTCAAAACTATCTTCTTTTGCATCAGTTTCTATGTTATCTTGGCTACTTTCAGTGTATTGGTCTTGATTGCTGTACGATGGTCTCACATTGCAGATTTTTGAGAGAGCTATTTCATCCTCAAATGCCTACGATGAACAGTTTAGGTAGTTTTTAACTTGATCTTGGATTCACAAGAGATAACCTTTTCGCAAGAATAGGAAATGAAGTCCATAGTTTTGCCCTTAGCTTCCTGTAATGAGGAGAGATTTGAATACCTACTTTCGGTAATTAATTACTGTTCAAATCAATAATTAATAACACTATTCAGTTAACATATGTATAATGGTCAGTTTATCCCCTAATCTGAGTTTGTAGGAGGTAAATACTAACTTTTCTCTCTTCAGAGATAGAAGAGATCAAGAAAGGGAAACCATTACCAAATGCTACTTCTTACTATATGAATGGTCAGAACAATAAAAGATAGTTAAATCAATCAAAATACCATATATATATATATATATATATATATATATATATACACTATTAATGAATTTATGGAATGAATACACTCATTTCACATTTTTAAACTAACAGTCAGAGGATCTTAATTAACAAAAACGAGACCTGCGGTTTACCTTGATATCCATAATATGCAACTGATGTATGATGATATTTCTTTCTGGGTATGATACAAAATATTATTAATTTGATTTGCAATCAAGTAGGAAATTGGTAGGGGCAGGAAAAGACACAGAGGGTGCCTATTGGGAATTAGTAGTGAAAGACATACATGATACTTGCAAAATCTTGGAGCCAATTTACAATGATTCAGATGGGGTAGATGGATATGTATCTGTTGCAGTTTCCCCCAAGCTAGCAAATGATACCAAGGGGACAATTGAAGAGGCAAAATGGCTTCATAAGATGATTGGGTGTTCAAATGTTTACATTAAAATTCCTGCAACCGATGAATCCATTCTTTCTATGAAGGAGGTTATTTCTCTGGGGATAAGTGTAAATGCCACAGTAAGTTTGTTAATTATGTGCTTTCTGATGCCACAAATTTTGATCCTCAATAGCTGCAGCAGCAATACCCTCAGAGTTTGTGTTTTTGAAACAGCTCATATTCTGCCTCCCTAGATATGAAGCAGTGATTGATGCTTACTTGGATGGCCTTGAGGCTTGTGGGAGAACTGATCTCTCCAAGGTTTCAAGTGCAGCAGCATTCTACATCAGTAGAGTGGATACTACGCTTGACAGAAAACTTGACCAAATTGGTACCTCTGAGGCTCTTGATCTCAAAGGAAAGGTGTGAAGCTGTTTGTTTTTTAACTTTCAGACAGCTTCGTTTGAGAAAATGTTTCATACTTTAGTTTTTGTTTTCACTTTCAATCTAAACATGTTGTTTATTTTAACCTTATTTCTGTTTTGTAAAGTTTGTATAAGATATAGTTAACTCCTTTTCAGTTTGGGATGTTTGGCCTGAAAATGTTATAACAATTGTGGTAGGGTGCAATTGCTCAAGCAGTCTTAGCTTACCAACTTTATCAGAAAAAGTTTTCTGGTCCAAGATGGGAACACTTGGAGAAGAGAGGTGCCAAGAAGCAGAGGTTAATGTGGGCTTCAACAAATGTGAAAAATCCAGCTTACCCTCACACATTTTATGTTGATTCTCTTATTGGACCGGATACGGTGAGTAATGCAAAAATTATATACTTTCAAATCTATGTGCTTCTAACAAAGACCTATAATTCTATCATATACTTAAAAATTGTTTATTTAATGTCTACAATCACTATTTTATTTATTTTTAATGAATGCATATATTATATTAGCTATATATTAACTACAATATATTTTTATTATTAGGTTGGTGAAATAACCTTGCCTTGTATTTTATGGGTGTGTAGATTTCAACGATGCCAGAGCAAGCTCTCAAAGCCTTCATGGAGCATGGCATTCTTTCAAGAACTCTTGATGCCAAAGTATCAGAGGCTCAACAAATTTACAATGCAATTCAGAAGTTGGGGATTCATTGGCCTTGTATTGGATCACAACTCGAACGTCAGGTGCTGGATTCCTTCACAAAAAGCTTTGATAATGTGCTCAATTGCATTCACAACAAAACACTTGTACAAGTCTGAGGCAACACTGCTTGCATGTTAATTAATTGTTTATGGCTGAAAATTGTAGCAGAGACTAAAAAATCTATGTACTAATAAATATTTCCTATACCTTTCAATTTTTAAACATGTATTTACTAAGAAAACTTACTACTAGTCTATAAGCCAAATTTTGGCACATTGGGATGATGATCTGGTGTGTCCGAAGTTAAATATCGAAATAAAATCAATTTAAAATGTATAAAAGATATAAATATTATTATGAATTAATTTTGTGAGATTGAATTAAATTTAAAATTTATTAGTCGAATTTTCAGTTAAAGTTTAATTTATTATATATTTATTGTTAATTAAACATATTATTGAACTTATCAAACTTAAAGAAAAAATGTATTTTCAATAAAAACAGTTTATGGTAATTTTTTATTTCTTTCAGACTTTAAAAATAATGTATTTTCAATAAAAATGGTCTATGGTAATTTGTTATTTCTTTTCAAGCCACTGGTTTATAATTTTTGAAAATATTTTAACAAAGAAATATTTATTTCTTGAATAAAAGAACAATCATATTCAATTGTAATTAGTATTCCACTTCATTGGAACTCTGTAATTCCAACTTCACTCTAAAAAAAGCCTATCTTTTTATACATAATTACACGATGGATTTAATTTGAGCTCTATTTAAAAGAATTATTTCTTTTTCAAGCCAATTCTAAGTTATATAGAGTCACGTGTCAAAAGTTATTATCACATTTCTATTATTTAGTTTATATTTTATTTTTTTAAAATAGATAACAACAATTGTACTGTCATTATTTAATATTTAGTATTATTTAAGTTATATAAATACATTTAATATTATAAATAAATAAAAAAGTAAAAATGTTTATTTTCCCTGAACATGAAATAACGAGTTTGCCACGTTTGCACATCCCCTTCTTTCTTTTCACGACCATTCTCTTTCTTCTCTTATCTTCTTCTTCTCTTTCTTTCGTTCTTTCTTTCTGTGATCCTCAACTCAACAACAAAGCGGGGCCTCAGAGAGCAAAAATGGCATTGCAGGCACCAAGTCTTCACTGCGTCCCCACCGTGAATGGTGGCCTGAGAAGACCCTCCGCCAGCCCTTTTGCTCTCAAGTCCTCATTCTTCTCTGGTTCACTCAATCTTCGTCTTCATCCCAATCACCGCCACCTCATTTCAGCATCACCTAGGATTTCCATGCGCGTCGCTTCCAAACAGGCCTATATCTGTCGCGATTGCGGGTCAACCTTCATTTTTTTGTTCTTTTCCGCGTTTTCAATATAATACTGAGAGATATGCGATAATTGATATAAATTTTGTTGTTGTTTGATGCAGCAATTATATGGTTTTGGTAATGCTATTGTTGTTGATTGATGCAGATATATTTACAATGACAGAACTCCCTTTGATAAGTTGGCTGATAACTATTTCTGCCCTGGTAATTGCTCCTTCCATGTTTTTCTTCCCAAACTTCTTTCCCCTTACTAACCACTCGCAACTGTATCTTACAACAATTTTTGGGTACGTGTGGTGTGCACAAGCTTATGACTTACTAGATAGAAAAAAGAAAAATCACTTCTCTGTGAAAATTAATGTTTGGAGAAATTATATGAAAATTTTTCGATGAATATACATACAAGACAATTTTTTTTATTTGTATTTTAGAAGCAACATTTTTCGCTCTTTTTTTTTCATTTTATTTGATGCCTTGAAGCATGTTTTTCTGTATTGAAATTTCCGAAGTACTTTCCAACTTCAATCTGAATATAACCTTATTCACAAGAGCCATTTTATATGGTAACATATACACTTTTACGTTAATTTGATACAAGATACAAAAGTAAAATAAAATGATCTAAAAAAATTTAAGTTTTATATTTAAAAAAAAAAAGATGAGAGTAAAAAATAAATAAAAGTAATATAAACGAATGTAGAATATTTAGGTTTGTCAAATAATATTTTCCTTTGTCTTGTTGATATTCTTTCTTCATGCGCGAGTTTTGTAAAAGAAATATTAAAAGATTATTTTAAGTTATAATATATCATAATTCAATAAGATTTTACCATATTAATACATTCTTCTATTCATTAAGATCATGTACAGATAAACTCAATCTTTTTTCTTCTAAATATTATAAAATATAGACAGTGCATCAAAATAAGTTCAATCTTGTTTCGCAATGGAAGATATAAGATTGTTTAGTGGTAAAGTTGGAAGAAGGCGGGAAAGGATGTGGATTTAATTCCTTTGGTTTAGCGGATTTTGAAGAGAGTGGAAGAGGATATGAGTTCAACCCCACTAACCATTAACATTGTCCACTAAAAAAATCTTGTTTTGCAATTGGAAACCAAGATTAATCACTTGATACCTCAATGAGTTAGCCTCTTTGTAAATTGAAATGTTAGTGTTTTAGATTGATATTGGATGATAGGGAATCATGTTGAAATACTACCAAGCACAATGTTAGGTAAATATTTATATATTTCTTTTTCTGTTGAGAAATTGACCCCATGTCTAAAATTGGCTTTTCAATGAAACAACTCTTTTTTTATAGATTTTTTTTTACTTATTTTACGATCAAGTTGGTTTTGGAATAAAAATACTCAAATATATATTAAACAACTTCAAAGTCTTTTTGAACCATTTTGAAATCAATTTAAAAAATTCTTGACTCAAACACACTTCTGAAGAGATGGAAAAATGTGTTTATGGAATGGTTAACGGTTAGTCGGCTCTTGGTAAAAATTAGTAGAAGCAGAAAAAAACGAGTGGAAAGAAGTTGGTAAAAGTGCATATGATTGCCATAAATAAATAGTGTTTTGCAGTTTGTGGTGCTCCAAAACGAAGATTTAGGCCATATGCACCAGCTGTCAGTAAAGATGCCAATAGCACAGATGTTAGAAAGGCACGAAAAGCTGAACTACAGAAAGATGAAGCAATTGGGTAAGCTATAAATCTTTATCTGTTTCTCTCAGTCATTATATCTCCACATTATTTTCGCATTAACATCATGCAATAAATTTTGCACCAGGAAAGCACTTCCTATTGCAGTTGTCGTGGGAATTGCAGTGCTTGCTGGATTATATTTCTATCTGAATAGCCAATACTAGGCTGAATGAATGTTTGATTGCAGTTTATGCCTTCCTTTTCTGTTCTTCATTCTGTCAGAATGACCATACAATAAATGATACAATTATTTTTGGAGAGAAGAATGTTCATATTTGTCAACCCTGGCGGGTCAAGGATGCAATGCAATGTTGTTAATAGAGGGGAGAATTGATTTATTTACTTTGTGCCATTAACCTGATAAAAATCATTTTGCAAAATTTGTGTTTTCAACAATGTCTAGAGTTTTCTAAGAAAATGTGGTGTCAAGATTTTCTTCTCTAAGGAATCTCTCGAACACACAGTCAAACCCTCGTGCTTGTAGCCTTCACGAGCTTCTTTATAGCTGGATTGAGAACTGTGGTCTCAAAACCTTTTCAAAACTATACAAGGATTTGCGAGCATTCTGAATAAACAGTAAAATCCTGCACTTAATTATCGTCATATTTTTCAGGATTTTTAAACGAATTAAATATTGGCATTTGACATAAAAGATTAAGATAGTGTTAGTGTGAAAAAAGAGTAAAGAATCTCCACTTTACGATTCGAGGAAAGTATCTTGATCAAGTTCCAGATTTACTATATAAAGTTTTCCGTATTGTTTCTTTGAGGTTTTTATCCTTCCCATAATTGGACGAATTTGAAATAAAGAAAGCCAATAAACGGCTAAAGTAGACTACTAAAGAACTACACAAATAATGATATTTTGACATCTAATTTTTTTTTTTACATTCATACGATACTATCTTACTTTTAAGTTTTTATAAATACAAAAGTTTTTTTATGATATGTTATTCCTGGATCAGTTGTCAAATGTTGTGAAACAATTTTTTTTTTCCGTAACAAAATGTGATCAAAGGCAAAGGAAACAGGAATTTAAAAGTGAGCAAAAAGAGATGGATTTTCGATTTTGTACCTCTTTGTTTCCCTGACATCACAAACTCTTGCACATTTTAAATATGGGTAGCGATATTCCAACAACGCAAATTTGACAAAAATTTGACAACGCCACGTGTCAACTTTTAAGTGGTCGAAATTTGAATGTTATTTGTAATTAAAAATCTGATGCTGAGGGGCTAGAAGTTAGGATTCCGAAATTGCCCTCTTCATTTTCGAAATGTAAGTTCTGTCCTTATAAAGGTGTTCTCTCTCCATTTTAGGGATTTGAAAATCATTTGAACTTGTGTCTTGATAACAGTGTTGTTCGTCCTCCATTGTAAGGGTTTCGTTTGTTTTCAAGATCTCTCTGTCCCGCTTCCCTGTGACCATTTTTGTTGGTAATAATGTCTGTGGAGATTGGGTATGTTTGTTTGAGTTGTAGATCACCGTTGTCTCCTTCGGTGTCTCTGTGAACTCGTCTTCTTTGTTTGAGTTAGAGATTAGCGTTGTGTCGTTGGGTGTGGATTTGGTGGAAGTTGTTAATTTTATTGTGCAATGGGTTCGTCCGGTGACAATGGTTGTTCGAACAAGGTATGAACTTTTTCGTATCTCCGTATTCGTATTTTGGGGAGGGGATTTTGGTGTTGCATGTGTTGGTAATTTTTTTGGTGTGTGTTGCTTTT